ATGTTGGGCTGAGAAGCCACAGAACCTTTCATCTGACAGTAAAAACACACGATACGCTCTGCTGGCCGAGCTGGATCCCGGCACAGTTACACTTGTGTGTTACAGCATCACCATCTGCTCCTGTCAAAGGAATTATCAACCATTTGTGTAATTACAGCTTCCAGTCCAACCAAAGTAGCTATACATTGAAGCTTTTGAAAGAAACAATATAAGCTGCCATACTTTCACATTTGCCACAAAACTACACATTGAGCACCGAGAAGAAAAGAAGTGTATGTTCATGCCGACAGACCATTTGAATTTGAAGTTAAATTTGCATCCAACAACTGTAACAGTTTTAAAGAATTTCCCACCAGTAAATATAGCTGCACACATTTTCTGATTCCATACTGCTGAATCAGCCTAGCATAAAGCATTAATCCAAACCAGAAGAGTTCAGAGAAATTTCATTCTACTTTGAACAAGTTTTCCAACACTCACCATAAATATGTTGAAATCAAAATAAATATCCTTTCCCCAACACCAGAAATTTATATTTTTAAAAATCTGAGAGCAATTAAAGCTAGCCATACGCCTCATAGTTTTCCACATCTTTCACATGAGAGTTAGCCTACAAGCCAGTTAATGCCTCTGGCAGCTGGAGATGGGGAATTCTCAAGAAAACACGATAAAATATAGGCTCTATTTATTAATTTAGTGTAAGTCCTGCCTCGGCTAGAGTATCAGCTTTCATGCAGATCTAGCCATATCTGTGCATTTCAACGAGGTGAGAATTTCAGTAGCCTTGCAGTCCCAGCGCAGACACAGCTCCGAGCGGCACACGGAGCCTCTGCTCTCAGTGCTCACAAGAAGCACGTCAGCAGCGAGGCAGCTCAGGCCAGGGCTCATCGCCCCGCAAGCCTTCGCCTGGCAGCCGCCAATGGAACCGCTACTCCCAGAAATCCTTCCCCCATCATTCTCTTAAATTCTCTTTCTCTTCGTCTCATAACAACGAATCCAGATCTTTGGCTACTGTTTTATTACATTTTTTAAATGGTCTGTAAAAACAGAAGTCCCTGATTTCTAGCTCCCTCCTTCGGCAAACAACTGGCTGGAAAGGCTGAAATCCTCTGCCACTTCAGCTTCATCTGCCCTCTGTCCCCACAAACATTTCTCATGCCCCCTCTTGGCTCCGCCAACTACTCTACTGTCATCACTGTTTCTTTCCCCTCTCTGCCTTTTTATCCTTTTCATTATCAAGCATTCTTAGGAAAAACTATGCTGAAACTTGTAAGCTTAGTAAATTGTATTAGTTGTAAATAAAAGGAACGCATCCATACCAAAATGGCCACAGCAAGGATAGATCTTTCAGTGTTCAGGTGATTAGAAAAACAACTCTGAACTCAGCACTGCTTGCAGCTCTCACTTCGCTGGCAGACAGTGCACAGAGATGATGGAGCTGTCATATCACCATCATGTTTTAGCAAAATATTTGTACTGGCATTCACTACATGCACACCAATGGTATGCAGCCCTAGACAGAAGTCCTGATAATTATTAAAGAGCAGTAGGATATGCTACTTCAAAAATATCCTGCATTTCTAATAGGTTTCATAGCTTTATTTTGTATTATTACAAGGCAGAAAACACCCAAACTAAGAGTATTTTAAAGCCAGCTGAATTTGTGATTTGGTTTGCAACAAACGTGGTTTTTCTCCATTTAAAAAGCTAATGTGTATTCAGTTTTATATGCCTATAACATTGAAAAAACCTCTATCTGGCACAGCATAAGCTCCTTATATGTACTCAAGAAGGAGTTAATGTAAGCCTTGCACATTTTTACTGTCTATAACTCAAAATATTCAAATTCAAGAACGGCTTCTGACTTTCATTATACTTATGCAATCACACAGTTTTACTTGGGGATCAAACTTGGCCATTAAATGTGATTTTCCCACTGACAACACATGAATCAGTTATATGAAGACTGCTTTGCACAGTCCTGTGCTAGTTTTAAAGGACAAACGGAGAAAGCATTTTTTAATTTGTCAGCTGAGCAAGCTCACCACAGGGTTGTGAGGAAAGAAATCTGCAACAACTTTACAATGTTTTTCACGCTAAAACACTTCACAAAGCATAGTGATGTCAACTTGGCTCCACAAAAGTCAGCAATGAAGATGACATCAACCACTGTGAAGCCAGGATAGCAACTTTGAATCTCCAAATTTTTAAGTGAATGCTAGACCTCAGACTTGCTTTACCAGCAGAAGTGCAAGTCTTTCTTCTCAGCCTTTAAACTCGACGAGACAGCCTCGCACACTGACTTCAAGTAAATTTTTAGAACGCAGAAAATGGAAAAGCTTCAGAGGCAGCCACACACAGGAGCTCAGCCCTCCAGTCAAGACGCTTGCTTTAACATAACTTGGACCCAACACTGATGGGACAATAAGCCTTAGGGAGGAATAGGATTGCTTGTACGTTGTCAACAAGTTGGAAAAAAGTATATTCTGTGTGTGTGTGCATACACCCACCCACATGTGCACAAACATAAGCCTGTAACTCATAAGAATGTTTTTCATTTAAACATTTTATAACTCTTATAGATGGAAGCGAGCTACACAAATCTGGTTTGCCTGTTGACAAAGTAAAAGCTACACAACATTAACACAAATAGATCAACCTTTAGTTGCATAAAATGTTGCCCATCATGAGCGCTATCCTGCTTTTGATCATGGTCTGATGTCTAAGAATATTAAAACAAAATAAACTTCTAACAGTCCACAACTTGCAAACTTTCTGACATTTGCAGATGAGACATTTCTCTTTTCTAATTCTCAGTAGAACTCTTCCTCATTTCCAAATCCCAGTTTACTTTTACTTCACCAGGTGAGAACAAATATAAAAATAAACTAGATTGGAGTTTTGTTTGAATGTGTTAATAAAATAGAGCCTTAGCAGAGAGACTAAATGAAGCTGCTCCCCTACCCTAGAGGCACATTTGTAAGGCCCCCATCAATTAACCTGCTAACTCCACTGCAGGAACACACACAGCCACCAGCAGTTATGCAGTCAGAATGGAAGGACAAAAGGAAAGGTGGTCTGCCCGCCTTCCAATGGAGAACAACAAAGATAAGAACTGCTCCTCCCCCTTTTTTTTTTGTCTTTAATTTTATTTTATTAATCAAAGAGTACGCGCTAAAAAACAGCTCCAAGGTGGATCATGCTGCAGATTAAAAAACATTTGTATTACAATCAGGATACAGACCACAGTCTCTAGCATACTTTACTGTTATAGATTTCCTGGGACAATGTAAAGTTAATTAATTAGGGTGTGTGCTAAAACGCAAAGTGTATTTGGAGAATCATGCCCATTAAGCAGCATAATAAAACATTGTTTTTAGAGACACTAACACACAATTTTAAAATTAGGATTTTTTTTTTCCCATTTGCTGAAGTAGTTTTCTTTTTTTTTTCCTGTGAATATGTCCGTTACTAATACTTCTGGGCATATTAACATTCTTTAAATAATAAACTATAATATAATAAAATAATAAAAAATAAACCTAGAAATATCATTAGCACCAAGCACCAGTCATCACGCATTCCCCCCTACTATTCATCTCAAAATTGTCTTGAAACATCAGAAAATATTTGGTCACATAATATTTAAAAACATAATAATGAGGCAGATTTTGGAAGGACACAAAAGATTGCACGATAAAGGAAGCAAAGATCCACAGTGGAAAATTAGCTCAGGATAGAGCTAACATCTTCCAAAATTCAGGTATACTCAACAGCTTCAACAGCCGCAGAAGTGAAGCATGTATTTCCATAGGGGAAACTGAAGAAAAGTAAGTAGGTAGAGGTAGAGTCTGGGGAAATGGTAGTCAAATCTCTCAAACACAGCAAGTGGGACAGAAAAGAGTGTAGGAAAACCAAGAAAATCTTCCAAATCATAGAATCATAGAATGGTTTGGGTTGGAAGGGACTTTGAAATGGTTAAAAACAAAAAAAAAAAAAAAAAAGAAAAGAAAAAAGAAAAACCACTAGCAAAAAAGCCTCAACATTCACCTTTTCAGCTAGCAGAAATCTTATGAGGACCTGAAGCATGAAGGAAAAAATAGTGCAGTAAACTATTCAGTCTATTTAAAATAATAATCAAATGCAGTTCCTTACACTGTTTTTTGGATTCCTGACTTGAAATCTCCCTCTTCCTTTTCAAAATCTTATTAATTCTTGGGCATACAACTACGTGATCTAGAACAATGAACAGTGACCTCTCTATTGTAATCTCAGTGGGATGACCTATTTACAAAACATCTTTTAGATAAAAATACTGACTTTCTTTGCCCCTAGAATGGTGACAAAAATAATTGGCAGAGAAACTGCAACTGTAACTGCAAAATGAGATGTAACCTTTGAATAGAGCCTAATACTACTACAAAGAAGGTTAAAACTGTGCAAAATCAGTTCTGCACTCCCACTGCCTGCACTCGGTTAAAGGAAGTGGACTCCAATGTGGAAGGCAAGGGAAGGAAGAGAACTTGAGACAGTATTTTTCTTCTCCTAATTTGTTAAAGTAGTGTCAAAACTAAGTAGTCTGTGTTCAGAAATAACTCCACTGATAAGTAACTCACAGAGGGGATAGTCTAGACTGCTGCAAATATTAAGGCATGCATGATATCATCATCTTTTTTCCTCCTCCTTTCTCAAGTTAACATTGTAGGAATCATTCCGGGGTGAATCCAAATTCTTCAGATCCATATATAGTATTGGAGGCTGGAGATAGGGAGAAGAGAACGGTGGGACTTACAAAAGTTATTATTAAAAAAAAAAAACATACTGTGATGTTTCATCTGCCTACATTAACTTCAGGAAGAAAAGGTTATGCTTGAAGTGCTAATTTAAGCATCTGTTAAGACCATAATTAATTACATTATTTGATGATTTCTTGAAAGAGAGACTGTAGACTTAACAAATAAGCTCTGGAGGAAACGTGCAGTCCTCCTTGGCTTGCATACCTGTGTCACTTCCAGATCCAGTTGATAACGCTGGCATGATTTAGTCTGCAGAATATCACACACGAATGTCAAACTCGCACTCTGCGGCCAGAAGGCAGAAGTTAATTTCAGTTTAACTGCTTGCAGCCAACTTGTCTACCAAGATTTATGCAATCTCCTCCTTTCTCCTAAAAAGATCAGAAACAGAATTTTACAATTAAGAGCTTTGTTAAACTGCAAATTACTACTGCTAATCAACTACAAACCTTATCACAAAAGAAGCTTTTGATTTAATCTAAGTCTCACACAACCAACAAGCTTTTTGCACCTATATGACTGCTAAGATTATTTCCTCAGGTGAAACAAGAATTGCTTTTTTCAGTCTAGTCTGTAATTACATTCCAGTGTAAAAGCATCTTCACACGTTTCTCTCATTTAAACTACACTCCAGTGTGTCAGGTATTTTAGAAAGAAAGCACTTTTTAAAAATAAAAGCAGTCAATAATTTAAGTCATTCTAATTTTATTACTAGTTGTCCCAGAAAAAGAAAAAAAAAGCATATATGTTAATTTATTGCATGTTTCTATTCAACTTCCTTTCAATACCTTTCAGTTGATTTGCAAATACAAAATACATAGCAGATCTTAATCTAGAAATATAAACTAAATTTTAAATGAAATTATAAAAGCCAGGACCGGAGCAAGCACTTATCCAGGGAAAATGGCAGCTTAATTTACGGAGCCATTCTCATGCTAACCATATAAGGATTCTTTCCTATAATTCATGACCACAAAGTCACATTTTTAAAACAAACAAACAAAAAAGATACTTGTTTAATTATTGCATGAGCCTAGAGATACTAAATTTGGGTCTTCAAACAGTTCTTGAGGAAAACTCAGAGCAAACATAAGGAAAGTACAAACCGATTTCAAATATAAGTGCACATATTTAAATTCAGGTATGTTAAAATATGAAACTGGAAGAGAAACTATGAAATTCTTTTCACAAGTTAAGTCTGGAAATGTTTACCTAGAGCAGGGCAGAGGCTGATGTGTTTGCAGAGAGAAGGAAGGGAGAGGGAGAAGCAGAAGCTTACATAAAATAAGGTGTTTTCTTCAGATTTCAGAAAACAAAAAGTGTCCTCTAAGGAAGAAGCCAGCACAGCTCTGCTCCAGCAGAACAACATAAACAAACAGGGGAGCATTTTGTTGCTCCTGTTGCGCTTTTCTTTTAGTTTTTATTTAATTTCTAAACATATTCATATTAATCAGAGTGGCTTTTGAAATCACATTGGCTTCGAAAGTGCATATTTTGGACACATTCATAGTTGGCAACAGCCTCGTGAAGAAGTAACATACAGGTGCTGTAAACACTGCACGCTGTGCAACATTTTCTTAAAAAAAAAAAAAAAAATCCACACATTGCTGAAAGCCCTGCAGCATAGCATAGCAAGGGCCATCCACTCTGTTTTATTTATATGAAGTTTTAAATCAATTATTAAGATACAAGTCAGCTGTTAACTCGTCCACAGGTGTAAGCCTATTGTTAAAGAATCAGAAGAGGGTTTTTTTTAAGGTTTTTTTTATTCCCCCTTAAGCATTCATCTGAAGAATGGTTTTGCATGTCAGCTTTCAAACCCGAGCTCATTTGTTTGCCTGTCTGTTTTAAGAAGGTGAGCAAAGGGAGAGTTTCAGCCTTAGATAACAACTTCTGCAACTAGAAGGATTACCTATTGTCTGCTATAGGGGAGACTGTGGTTGTGTTTTTTGTTTGCTTTAGTTACAAAAGGTTGCGATAATGAAAAAAAAGTTTTAACTAAAAAAGCTGAATTTTCGAAAAAAAACCTTCTTGTCCATCAGATCAGTACAAAGCCTATCAGCTTGAATAAAATTTAAAACAGAGATAAGGAAGCACTTCAGAGCAATAGACCAACTCACGATGACAAAGTTGTAAGAAACAAATCTATCTGCAAAGCTAGCCTGTGTGCAGCTCAAAAGGAAGAAAAAAAAAAAAAAAAAGAAAAAAAAAATGAGGCATCACAGCCAAGGACACACTGTACAAATTAAAAAAGAACATACTTGGTTTGCACTAATTCTGCTTGTTTTCTTTTGACCACATACAGGAACCATGAAGGAGAACTCCTGCTCTGAGCTCACGCACAGCCCCGGAGCAGCACACAGCTACAGCCACAGGGACGGATGGGAGCGCTTTCGGTTTTCATGTGTGCAAGAAACTTGTTCAAACAAAGGGATCTCCTATTAATGGGGCGTCTTTCGTTTATACGCAGTTTGAGGTACCTCTGTATACTAAAAGAGAAAGCCAATAAAAACAAAAGGAACAACACGTAAACATGCAAAGAATTCTCCTTAATGCCGATTATTAATTAGATCTGCGGGTTCCTCAAAAAATAGTCACTGTGCAGTGTGGAAAGCGGAGCAGCTCGACATACATGTCGTGTATTCTGAACTCGATCTACTCCTGATTTTTCTTTATTTCACGGTAAATCATTCACTATTAAAAGAATTCAAGTTTCTTATTATTTAAGAAACTTATATATCACATAAAGCTATTCCCTCCAGATCCTAAATATATATTAATGAAAAATAAATGACCTGATGAAATCCGTACCAGTAAAATGCTTAATATTTTGCTGGAATGGAAGGGGGATCTTTTTTTTCTAACTTGCAAATTAAGGCACATTTTTGCAGCGATGATGTTATTTTCTTTGGCTCGCTTTGTTCCAAATGCTTTGGAAGTTTCTGCCGGAGCGCGGCCATCAGCACTGCTGGCTGCTGTATGGAATCGATTTGCTGCAACACAGCAATACCAGCTGTTACAGTATGTCCTGAGAGGGATTACCGAATATTCTTAAATTGAAGTTCAATCCATCTTTCCATAAAAATTAGAACCAAAAGCCAGGAACGTAACAGCAGTATCAAGTGCACCTGAGGCATTTACAATACCCAACAGGACCGTTACGACCAGCCTCTAAAAAGGGCTTATTTTTGAAATTTCATTATTCCAGCCGTACCTTGCTTCTATATATCACACTGTATCAGATTCTTCTGGCAGCCGCCGCGTGGAAACAGTGAGCCAGGAGCGGCGGCTCCCGCCCCGCCGTCCCGCGGCGCTGCTGCCACCTCGCGGCCTCTCGGCGCCACGGCTCCCGCCGCAGCTCAGCCCGGGGAGCCGAGAGCCGAGAGGGCGGCTCGTGAGGGAGCGGCGGGAAGGTCGGAAAGCTTGCCGCCCCGCGCCTATTCGGGCTCCTACAGGAAAGGCGTTCCTAGCTGCAGTTCAACTAAAGGCATCCAAAACAATTCACCTCTATAAAAACACGCTCCCCTCGCCTTCAGACAGCTCTCGTACACTGCGCCGCCGAGCTCCTCACGGCAACGTAAGGGATGGCGGTGCTGAACGCCCTGGTTGTAAACAGCTCCCGGGGACACCTTCACAGCACACAGCCATGCAACTACAGCTCTCCAACGGAACGGTTTTCCTGCGTCTCACACAAATAAGAGGCCCCTTAGTAAGATTCAAAGGGAAGGGGATAAATCCGGCTCCCCACCACCTGCGTTACATACAGGAAGATGAGACCGAAGGCAGACGTGCACAGGCACTAAGGTGAGCAGAGCTACACACTGCGTCTGCTTGAGCTCAGCTACTGCCTTTGAATGGAAGCGACTCCATTAGCCACAGGCACGCTTTATTTTAGTCATGTTATTTAGGTAGGAAGACCCATTCAAATCTGGCTTTACAGCTAGCATCAGGCCTTTGCAGACAACACTCATCAAGACTTGGTTTTATGTTCAGCTCCCCATCCAAACCTTAATAAACTGCGTAATATTTCTGTCTGAAAGTCTGCCTTACAAGTTACTTAATATTTTGGCACAATAATGAGTATAAATAGATTTCCTTCACATTTTAGAGGCAGGTTGATTATTTGAATTGACTTAAGACAGTTAAGATGTAAAAAGCATGAACCTAATAATGTTCCAATTCGGGGAAAAAAACATAAAAAACAGGTTGTTTGATATAAGAAACCCACTCAGCCTGTTCTTCTAAAGGATGCTACAGTTATGAAGACTATAACCCTCATTTCCAGAACTAAAACAGCATGCCTGCAAATGGTATTTGAACCACCAGATAGAGATTTCATGCAGAGACAGGAAATTTGACAGCCATTTGGTCTTGCACTCATTGTGGGGCCTCCAGTAATTGAATAACTGGGGACATGTATACAAATCTCCTAAACCTAGTCAGCACAGGAAATTGCCAAAGGAGGTTTTCTAGACTGGGGGAAAAGTAAATCTGCTATGGTAGACAAAATATTAATTGAGAGTGGTGGTCTACTCTTCAGGAAGATGAAATGAGGTCTACTCCATCACAGAGTCTCTGACAGTCTTCTAGAATCAGTTGTGGCTCTCAGCTGCCCTCCAAAGCTGGTCAGCTGTCTCTATAGGTAACATAAGCACACCGTCAGCAGGAGCTCACAAAAAAGTCAACCTGAAGCGCTGCACAGAGCACGAGTGCCTGGGACTTCAACTGCATCCCAAACTAAAAAGGACAACAGCTGCCTTGACTGATGTCTTATCAATGTCATCACATCCCTCTCTATCCACCAGATGAATGTGGGGATTCTGCATAATATTTTAGTATACTACATTAGTGTTTTCCATTTTGCGTGGCTCATGCAAACATTTAGCTTACACCAGATACAATCACACTTTGAGAGTAAAAACAGAATTTTCAGTTTCAAATTTAACTACGAAGCCCAAAACTTCAGAAAAGAGACACCTTTGGTCTCTACTTATGGGAAAACTTTTACAAATGGAAACATTCTGCAAACATGTTTAAGTACCAAAAGGTAAAAGCCAACCTTCATAAGAAGGAACTGTTTTACTCATAATACAAGGTGAACTAAATGACTCTGATAAGCATTTACCTATAACTCCCACTCATTTGATACAACAGCCTTCCATGCAAACTAAATACAGTTGGGAAGGATACTCATTTCAGCCCAGAGGTTCCTACTGCTCCCAGCACCTCTGCAAATGACTGGAAGTCCCTGATTTCAGAGGAGAAAGTGCAGAAATCAGATTAGCTATATATTACAAGAGATGCTGGAAACTTTTTGCAGTGGCGCTTAGCCAGCCTGCCATGACACTGTTCTGAAGAGGGCATTTCATTA